ACAAAGAATATACAAGTAAGGAAAGTTTGCTACTGTTTTTCAAAAGAAAATGCTTTTCATAATTAGACGCTATTCTATTTTAATTTGATTGATTGTTGTTGGATGTATTTTTATATTTCATATTCATTTCTAAAAACGATTGAAATATATGCATAAGAATTTGATATTACAGAAAGTTAGTGAATTATGACTGATAATATAAATGGACCTTGGTTTGGAAAAAGTTAAGAATGAGGAAGTATGTGCATTTGCATAAGAATTCAAATGTAGCTGTCATTTTGCTCTATTGCTTCAAAGTACTGTTAGGATATCAGAAAGTATTATTCCCAAATTTTCAATATAAACCATGTTGTACCTCCATAATTAACAGCTTAACCCTTCCTTTAAATGTGATATATTCTATTTTGCTTCCTTTTGTATACTTTTTGAATGCATTTGTAAATAATACATTGAAAAGGATGTATATTGTAGTATTTCTCATGATTATATGTTTCTATGTTTGATAAGATATTGTCTAAATGAAATAGACAGTATATGGTGTACTTGTTTTGTTTACTTCCAGTAATTTTGCTTGTTTTGAAGGAAATTGAAAGTCCATCAATAAATCATTCATATAATAGTACCTGTTTCTTATTCATTCACATAATGTTTAGTCTTCAGAAAAAATTTGTTGTCCCCTTTATAATTAAATAATTAAATGTTTAAAAAAAGTCAGTACTAACTTGTCAATAACAATGTGCAATAAATTTAAACAATTGTCAAGGAACTGTAAGGTGAATAGGTTTAGTTTAGAACCCTGCTCATTGTGAACAGAAAAGAAGTAATGGTAGTTGCAGTTGTTCAGGTCTCTACATTCCATAGATGGGGCAGAGAATATTTTCCCCCCTAATCTGTTTTTTATTTCCTTTTTTGTGTAATCCCCCCCCCCCATCCCATGCCCATTGTTGCTGAGGGGAGGGGGATTAAAAAAAAGGGTTTTAGGAGACAGACACTGGGACCCAGTACTGGGGATCACCCATGCCTTAGACCTCAGCCCTTCAATCAATCTAATTTTGAATGGTCTTTTCTTCTTCCCCTTTCCATTTCTGTCTCTTTTCCAACCCTTTCTACTCAATTTCCTAAGGTGTGAGATATGTGTTGAAAGGATGAAAGGCAGACTGAGCCAGTCATAAATGGCATGGGGGAGCCATGGGCATGATATTTCCTTGTTTAATTGTTTAGTAAATAAGACTGAGGCTAGCCCTGCAGATATTAATTCTTCTGAGTCCCCAACTCTGACTCTCTTTTGACTTTGACTCTATACACTATCCCCCTTCGATACCTACTCTCACTTCAGTCATGCCAAACTATCCACCTAGGTCATTACTCAACTTCTAGAAAACATTCCTCCTCTCCTAACATCCTCTTCTTCATCTCCACTGCAAAAGCTCTCTTCATCTACTACTCCCTCCTCCCGTATTACTACTCTGCAGCCTTATTGTTCACCTTTCAGCACTACTCCCTTTTTCCTTCTACTATCTAACATTTGGAAACTAATTGAATATGTCAAATGGGATCAATTTTTTGTGATCTCCTTTATAGCCCCATATTCTGACAATACCCCCCTCTTCCAGCACAACTTCCAAAAATATGGCCTTCCTTTTGATGTTTAAATTGGTGGAGAGTGCCTCCCTGTCCCACCATGTCAACCTCCCCCTGCCAATGTCAGAATTGCTGGCGTATAGGCCAACCTTCTAGACACCACCGCTATATAGTCAAATGCCCTCATGTGTTCCACTTGGTCATGATTGATCAAACTGTAGGGAAAGGGTAAAAATGAGTTAATGATTAGGACAAAATATGTTAGATGTCAAAAGTTGCAGAGCACTGTAGGTTAGTAGTAAAAAGGGCAAAGAGGGAAGAGCAAACACAGTGAAGGCTGGTCAGAACTTTCAAAGAAGCCACCCTTTCATGCTTTTAACATGCCTCACAATTTAGGATGTGGACAAAAAAAAAGGGATGGAAAAAAGGAAAAGGAGAGGGGGAGAAGAAAAGACCATGCACAATTAGTTGAGGCAAGGGCTGAGGTCCAAAGTAGAGGTGATCCCCAACCTTGGACCTCAGTCTTTGTCTCCTAAGCCCCCCCACAACATCAACAAGCAAGGGATTGGGGGTGTTACTGCTTATTAGTTGAAACAAATAAATGTGCTAGACATCAAATGTCATACAGCACTATGGTAAAGTATTATGGCAAAAAGAGTAAAGAAGAGCTAAAGATTAAGATGAAATGTGTTAGATGTCAAAGATTTGAGATCATTGTTGTACAGTACGGTAGTGAGAAGGGTAAAGAGGAGGAGCAAATGACGTAAAGTAGAGATTAGTAAAAGAGGAAAGGGTTAAATGGGTAGGGAGATTGAATGAAATGGAATGTATCTCTGACTGGGGAAGGAATAGGGACATTGTTTAAGGAAAACAGAGATGGCTGTTGGAGAAGTAGGAGGAGGAGAAACCAGGGAATGAG